AGGGGAAGTGGAGGGGCAGGTATTGATCTCTTCTCTCTAGTGACCAGTTTCAGGACACAAGGAAATGTCAAGAAGCTGAGTCAGGGGAAATTTAGGTTGGATATCAAGAAAAGGTTTTTCACTTAGAGTGGTTAGGCACTGGAACAGGCTTCCCAGGGAAGGGGTCACAGCACCAACCCTGAGAGAGTTCACAAAGTGTATGGAAAATGCTCTCAGGCCCATGGTGTGATTTTTGAGGTGTCCTGTACAAGCCCAGGAGTTGGACTCAATGTGACTGATGGGTCCCTTCCAACATAGTATATTCTATGGTATCCTGGTACTGAAACACTGTATGACGCCATAGAAGAACTAGAAGTGACTGTCATTTTTCTGTCCCACTCCTCTATTTCATACTAGCATGAATTTCCATGAAGCTCTTTTTGAAGTGGAATGTCTGAAACTTATCTCAGAGCCTGAAAAGAAAGAAGCCTTCTTGCTGTGGTCCTCCCAAAGAAACTATGTTGTTTCAGAAAACCATACCTCTATCTCTTGTGGATATTTCATTACTGAAGTTGCACAACACTATTACTATACTATTTTGCTATTACTTAATTACTATTACTATTATATAAATGGTAAACATAGTTTACACTGCTTGTAAACTGTCCTATTTCTGGTGCTCAAATATCCTTATTCAAAACTAAATTCCATTTTTACATTTGGATGAATCTTTTCAGCAGAAGTTAACTAATTATTTCAAAAGGTGAATCAAGTTTTACACTTACTCTACCTTAGCAGTTCAACCACATTACCATTAATGCATTATGAACTACTTTTCTTGTCTGTATATCCCAGTTGAGTAACTGAGCCATGGTTGCATCAAAAAGCACCTTCAGATGTCCCACATACGTTTAGGGCAAATGGGACCTCAGCTATGCCAGTACAGGATTGCCTCTAGGAAACCAAGTGCAAAAGGAGATCTGGCCAGCAACCTGCTATGAGTCACTCTGACTTGCTCTGTCACAGGATTTGCACTTACAACTGGGTCAAATCCTTGTCTGGAATAGTTAGACAGATCTGCACTGCAGCAGGATTGAGCCCATGTATCACAATGCACAAATACATAAGCAGCATTGCTAGAAAGGGTCTACTTTCTAAAGGTGGCAGAAATGGGTGTCAGGTGACAGCTGAGATGGTGCAGAATGGTCTTTGTGCAGGAAAAAAAAATGGATGCTTTGGAAAGTAATAGCTCAATAAGGTAAAATAACCGGGGGAAAAAATGCTTTAATACAACATAAAACAACAATACAAAATAGGAATCAAGAAACATGGTGTCACTTCCAGGCCATGGCTTCTGTGCATGTGAAGTAATCATCTGGAAAAGAAGCTAGCTGTGGGAGAGGATTATGAACAGGTCGTGATCTCACAGCATGATAAAATGGCCAAGAGAGCAAATGCAACCCTTGTTAGCAATGAGCAACACCTGCAGAAGGAGGAGTTAAAGAAGTTGCTACTTTTTGTCACATCCACAAGGTGATCATTCCTAGGTATTGTAACCATTTCTAGCCTCAACACTTTATCAAGGATGTTAATAAATACAAATGGTTCAAAGATACTGCCACCTGAGGAAAATCTCCCTCATGCTGAGCACTTAAAGATCAACCTCACTACCTCAAAGAAAGGGCACAGAGAAGAGAAAATCTCTGCCTAAGACTAACTATGTGGAGAGGGAAATCCACAGGCATTAGAGATTCTTCTGCAGGCTACAAATCTCTCTGACTCAAAAATGAGACAAAGAACAGAGTGCTAAACTGCCACACTTGGAACAACATATCCAGTAAATTTACCATCCTTGCTAGCCTTGCAATCAATACTGCTATCTTACAGAATAGCTCATTCAGAAATTAAATGCTGAATGAAGGAGTCCATGAAATCCTATGCCCTGTATTATCTAAAACAAAGTAGTTGATCATAAGATTCCACTTGGGTCTTAAAAATCTATGAGTGTAGTTCAGAGGACATGTAATTCTAGAGACTAAGTATGAGGTCCTTACATTTTTCAGGATGAATTTTCCCTGAAGACTACATTATTCATCCTATAACTGAAAAGTAAGCTTCAAAGATACGTAGTGAGCCCCCAAAAGATTAAATTTCCTCCTTTTTTTTTTTTTTTTCATTTCTTTTTTTCCTTAATTTCAGGTGAAAACATGTACAGAAAATGGACAAACTTTGTGTTTTGAAGAAGACTGACAGGTTCTGAAGGCTTATGGAGAAGAGGGCAGCACTCTCACAACCAAATCCTGTGAAAGACAGATACTGGCTGCATCTGGCTTTACAACAGGGCTCTACAGGAACTGGCTTTTCTGGTTTTGATGACCTCTGTAGCTCTGTGACAGATGTGGTGTTGTACCACATTTCCAAGGGATGGGATCTACAGCATCTACCCTTTACTATCTAATTGGATTTTATCACTTTGACTGAATGTCAGGAGGTTTTTACAATGTGAGACTCCGAAACCATGTCTTGCCTAGTCATTCTTGTTTTCTCAGCCAGTTTTATCCATTTCTACTCCTAGCTGTATAGCAGCATACAGAGCTCTAGTATTCCCCACAAAACTCATACTGTAGGACTCAGTATTGCACATTATCCAAGAGTATCATTTAAGATGGCACTTTAAATCACTGGGAACTGAGCTGAGCTTTTTGATGAAATTGTATTTGATTTTGTAAAGAGAAATTTCAGCAGAGTGAGGCTAGGAGTATCTCTATGTGATTTACAGCAGAATTTCCATCTTTTGCACATTTTCAACACATACCAGGACTTGATGAAGACCTTACTTTGCAGGTGGACCAATCCTAAGTTTCATCCTCTAGCTACCAATATGAGGAAAGCATTCAGCTTGGCTGTCTTAATCACATTTTCGGTTTTGATGGGCAGGAAATGTAGTGTAGTTATATGTGCGAGCCCTGAATAAGCTTAAGAGCAGGTGTTTGCTGCATGCTGGTTTTGGGAAACACTGGCTGGATTTTATTATGCTGTAAGTCAGGGAAATTACTCACATCTCCCCCTCCCCTCAACAGGTAAGTTTTGGGGGGCATGGGGGGGTTGGCATTCTTCTCTGACCTGATCTGCATTTAATCAACACTTCATCTCTCTTTGCAGTAACTCCTCACAAGCACCACTGACATCGTCAGCTAAGTTCTCTGTGTTTTCCAGTTTGTCAGTAGAATACTGTTGTTGAAACCAGTTTAGAAGGTGAATTCATGGCAGAGAGGACATGACCAGTCTCTCTCAAATCCTGGACTTGGAGTTTTGAAAAATAAATTGCTAGGAAATCGTTATTTTAATTCCTGTGCTTTGTTTTTTAATTGTACCATCTTAGAAAGAAATAGAGTTTGGTATAAACTAAATTGCTGTTACTTTTCAACATACTTGAGTAAAGTCCCTGAGCTACAATAAAAATAATTGACGTAACCAGCTTTTGCTAAGCTAAAGTGAAGATTTAAGTTCTGACCTCCCCTTTGTGCCGACAAACTACCCTGTGCTTTTTTGCTGTAGCCACATACTACCCTGAAAAACTCAAGGAACCCTTTGTCATGTTGCAGTGTAATTTTTTTAGGCCAGCTAGTACATCTTTAATCCAAAGAAAGATGCTGCCGTTGCCCAAGCTGGGTGACACTTGGAAGCACATTATCGCATACAGAATGTTCATTAAAAGCGGATTAGGAGAAGATCTCATCAAACATACCAATTCCGCTTGAAATAAACAGCTTCTAAGCACAGGAATTGTTAGAGGAACGGACCACAGGCACCGACTTTGGTTTGCATATTTCAGGGAGTGTTTTGAACTGATGTGTGTGGGACTGGGCTCTTTACTCCAGCAGTTCTGTTTACTTTACTCAAACAGAGTAGAGGTGATAAAATGTGGAAACTTAATGAAAAGATATCCCAGGCATGAAACACTGCAGAAGAATTCTGCTTAATAATGAACTAATTTAAAAACAAATTAAATGAAATGCAGCTTTCAATGTTAGGTTCTAGATTTCTCTCCCCCAAACATTAGACGAAATTGCATTGTTTACAAAAATTTATTAATACAAACTTTACACACTTTATATAACAGTTATCAAAGTCCTAGTTATAGATATCATGTGTGTAATAATACTTTGTTTAACTTCTTTTTTATATTCATTTGCACACAAAATAAGTTCTCCAAGACTAACATCTACCTACTATGACTGTATCTCAAATCTGCTCAAATTTTGGTAAGGCTGTTGGCGTTTCTGAAAAAAAAAAAAAAAAAAAAAAAAAGAAATAGTACAAAGGATAATAACCTAGATGATCACTTCATAATGCTTGCGACTAGCCACTGAACTCTAACTGATAAGGTCATAAACAAAATGTCAAGAGAGCCCTATGTCATTATACCACAGCCGACACAAACACAGCGCACTCTGCCCATGGCCAAAGAACAGAAGGACGACTAAAACGCAAGCCGATGTGTTGCAGCATCGTAGGGCCACTAAATAGCCATCCGTGAACTCGTGGCGATTTACAAGGTGAAGAGAAGGCACGAAAGCTGCACACTGCGCCCCGCGTCCCCGCGGCCGGGAGCGCGGCCGGGCGGGCCGGCAGCGCGGCCGGAGCCGCCGGGGCAGCGCGGGCGGGCGGGCGGTGCCGGCAGCTCCCGCCCGCCCCGACGGGCTCTGCCCGGCCCGCTCCGCTCCTCCTGGCCGGGGAAGGAAGGTTTGACCCGCGAGGGTTTGTTGGGGGGGTTGGGGGGTTGCTTTCCGACGTCTTGAATGCGGGGCTCGTTTTGTGTCTTTGGAAAGACTCCTGTAAGGTTTGTGTGGTGAGCTGGAAGGAAGCGGGTACCTACGTGTCCTCCTCCTTCGCTCCCGGCCCGGGCGGGGGACGGGACCGACCCCCGGGCAGACGGTAAGATAGGAGTCCGTACATAGAGAGATGAGGTGAAAATGGTTTATCTCGTTAGAAACCGGACCACAGGTGAACACTACACATTCTTTTATGACAAAAGTTCGTTTTATGAAATAAATTTTACTAAGCAATAAGCCAGAATGTAGAAAAATACATTTTACCTCCAAACTCAATAAACAAGGAACAAAAACTTTCGTAATAGTGCATAATTCTTTAGTGGTAGCTACAACAGGGGTTCCTAAACTTGTACAATAAGAGCTTGCATAAAACAGAACAAAGGAGTGAGAGAGCGTTCACAATCTTTTTTTTTTTTTTTCTTTTTTCCAAAAAGAACATAACCCAAAAAGGTGACTCAGGTGGGTTAAACAGAGTTCGGAAAAGTTCGAAGAGAGGATGAGAGGCGGGAGGTCCTACAAGAAAAAGCATTTAAAGAAAAGAGCAACTCCGACCGAAAAATGCAAAGGCGAGAACCCTGCTCATTATTACACAAGATGAGAAGCATGGACAGCACTGGAGAGTAACACACTGTACTTTGCATCCAGGTCCAGTACCGAGCTGCCCGGGGCAGTTGGGTAGCGGATCGGAGGTGGGATCGCCTCGTCTTACCTCGACCCTGCGGCACCGGCTCCGGTACCGGCTCCGGCCCCGGGGCGCGCCGGGGGCCGCCCCCGCTCACTTCCCCACTCTTTCCAAACGGGTCCTGTCTCTGCTTTGGCTTTGTTCTGCAACTCTGTCCAGACAGCCAGAAGAGCAGTGCACGGGGCTTAGTACTTACTACCCTTGCTGCTGGTTCGGGATTTTGGGGTTGGGGTTTTGAGTTTGGCTATTTTTTGTTTTATTTTGATTTTTTTTACTATTATTATTATTTTAGTTTTGGTTTTTTAACTATTTCTCCCTTCAATAGGCAACAGAGATGCACAATTTGGATCGAGCTGTTGTTTCCACAAGATAATTATCCTCTAAGCTCATTGTTTGAGGATACACTAATAGAGATACAACTGGAATCAAAGAAAGCAGGAGAGGAAAAAAAAATAATCGAAATCTAGAAGAAAGGGGATGCTGCCCCTTCAGAGAGGCTAGTAGCAAAGGAGCCTGCCTTGAGACTCACCAGGGGAAGAATCTGCTTCACCAATTCTCCCAAATCAATTTCCTCATAATCCCCCTGGGAGCAGGTCATCCTTCTCTATGTACAGTAGCAAATGGTGAAAATTAATGTTTTCGACCCTGTCGCGGATAAAAATACTATCCTTTTAATTTCTGTTACAAAAATAGGAGTAATATTCAAAACAATGATTGTCTCTTTTTTTTCTATTTATATAAAAACATAAACAGCTCAGGCGAATTCTTGTTCTTGTGCAGGCTTTTCATGAAGAATTGTTCTTAACTATTCTTAGTAGTATTTATATATATATATTTATATATTATATATAACTTAATGATTGGTCCACAAAGTAGATCTGTGCGTTTCTCTAGTGCTTTTTGTACAAAAGAAAAACAATATTATTATCAAAATATTCATTTAATGGCTTTACTTCATACATAAATACATGTTTAGATAACACAGGAGCGGTGATTGTTCAGTCAGTTTGGAAATGACTTTTGTTTTTGTTTAGATTTTTTTTGTTGTTGTTGTTGGGTTTATCTCTCTCTCTCTCTTTCTCTCTCTCTCTCTCTCTCTCTCTCTTAGGACTTTGTATACACAGGAGTGGCTGGTTACTCACATCGCTACAAATACGCTACTCGGCGTCCTTTGTTTTTAACTCTTTGTTTATACCTTTTCCCCAGGACGGCTGCTAAGTATTTCTTGACAGCCATTTGTTTCCGGTAGCGGCTGTAGCTGTCCGTGAAGATGCCGTCTATGTGCCGCTTGGTCAGCGGTTCCGCATCGTCCCCCAGGCCGCCGCTGGCACCGCTGCAAGCACCGAGAAGCACAGCTGCATCAGGCGGGGCCGCTCCGCCCTCCTCCGCGCCCCTCCGCACCGCCCCCTGCCCTGCGCAGCCCCGCGCCGGCCGCTGCCCCCGGCGCAACACGTTGCGCGGAAGATGCGCGGGGAGACAAAGGCCGCGCCGAAAGCCGGTCCCGATGCTGTGCGCGCAAGTGGCGCCGGCGGGAGAGACAATATCTCCCCGCCATGAATTATTCATTGCGGCCGCCAAAGCTGCTCTCCCTGGGGCTTCATTAACGTGTTACCTTCTGCCTAAGGGCAGCGGGTGGCACCGGGCTGGCCCCTGCCCCGCCGGCGGCGGGGAGCCCCGGGGAGCCCCTCCCGGCGGCTGGGGGTGCGCAGGGCTGTAACCGAGCCTCCACTGCTGCAGCTGAGCCCTCGGTCATCGCTCTCCATAAGCTGCTCCCCCCGGCAAACCGTAAGGGCTGCCCAACTTGCTAATTTTAAATTGGTTGATTATAAAAATTTGTAGAGACATATGAGTAGATATAGGTGATATAGATATAGATGTAAATATAGATATATAGATATATAGATATATAGATATATAGATATATAGATATAGATAGACAGATATTGATGCATGCATGTGTGTGTGTGTATATCTCTATATAGACACACACATACATCTTTATACCCTAGCATAGTAACCCAAACAAATCTCCGCGGACACCCGCGCTGAAAACCAGGCTCACGCTGCGCCGGGAGCGGCCAGGGGCAGACGATGCCTGGGGAGCCGGACTCCACCAGACTCATCGCGGGCTCAGCACATTCCCGACCCTGGCCGGAGCAGCTTTGTTCCCCCCAGCCGCGGCCCTTCCAGCGTCTCCGCTCCAGCAGCACCAACGCCCACCGAGGAAAAGAACAAGCAGAGAGCCTTACCCGACCCGCTTGGCCATCAGGGAGTGCAGATATTTCCTGGCAGATAACTGGCCCAGGAGTTTCCTGTAGGCTTTGTTGAAGATCCCATCGGCGTGCCTGGGCAGAGGGAAGAGCCCGCGGGTGAGCGGCGAGGCCCGGGAGTAGGCTGCGGCGGGTTGCGGGAGCCCGGGAGGTAGCGGTGACCATCCCTCTCCGCCGGCGAGCGGAGGGCGGCATCTCCCCGCGTCCCCCGGGACCCCTCGTCCCCACCCAGATCCCTCCCTGCCGCGCTCGCTCCGTTCCGCGCCTGCTGGGCATTTCTGCTCCGTTTGCGGGAGCATCGCTAGCCCTCCTCGGCGCGGGCGGCTCCCCCGCTCCCTCCCCCGCGCTGCTGGAGGTAAGGCGGCTTTTCCGTTTCTTCTGAGCTTTACACTGGGCACCGGGACCTGGGCAGTATTGTAGTTTGTTTGGGTTCGGGATTTTTATTTTGATGTTGTTGCTATTTGCTTGTTAGGTATTATTACTATTTTTTCCCCCAATCGGTTCTGCCAGACCCGTTTTTCTCCCTACTCCAAATTCACGCCTGACACCCCCGCGAGTTGCAGTCACCTCTTTTCCGGTGGGTAATACAAGGTGTACATCTCGCCGATCATGGAGGACGGATTCGCTATACCGAGGGGCTCGTGGTCGTAGGCGAAGTCCTGCAGGGTGTTCCCGTCCTCGTCGTAGACTTCATCCTCCAGCCTGGCAACGAGAGCAGCAAGGAGAAGGAGTCAGCCTGGCTCCGCGGGGCTCTCCGCTCCACTCCCCGCTGCCGGCTTCCGGCTGCCTCGGCTGCCACTCCTCGGCGGAGCCGACCCGGGAACCCCGGGAGCCCCGTCCGACTGCCCCATCCCCTCCCTGCACCCGCCCGCTCTCCATCCCCGCCCTCTCCTCTGCGGGGCAGGACCGCGGAGGAGGGAACACACCCGCCGTCAGACGCGCTCCAAGAAACCCCCCAAACATGCCACCCCCTCCCCCCGCCCTCCGCGGCCCACGCCCCGGCCCAAAAAACATCCCCTCTGTGCCACAGCCGTGGCTGATGCTTCCCGAGCGGAGCGCACGCCCAGGCGCGCAGGCTGCCGCGCACACACGCGTTCGTGTGCCAGGGGCTGGGCTGGAGCCGAGCAGCCTCCGCCGGGGGACGGGGCGGTGAGCGGCAGCCCCGCCGCCGGGGCCGGGGACCGCGCCCCGCTCCTCCCCGCAGCCCCCGCCGGGACGGGGGGGCTTCTCCTGCTGTTTTTCGTTGAACGGTGACTCTGCCCTTTGAGATCTCGCCAGTTTTGTGTGTGTCCCAGCCCCCCCAGCCCCCGCTCTCTGCCTCCCTCCCTGCAGTACGATGTAGGTCATTGCACGTTACCGGCATCTATTTTTGTCTGTGAGCTTTAGCGGAGGTATTAATAATAGATGCCGCTAAAGTGTTTCACTCCTGCTAATTCAGGCACTTGAATCAAGAAAGCCTGCTTGCTGCCGGCTAATGGCCCCTCAGGCCACCGAGCCCGCTGCCCCCTAGCCTCACTGCCCAGGAAGATGACACAGGCTGCTCCGAGCCAGCTCCGACGGGCTCCGGGTTACTGCAAGGACACCTCAGAGCCTCAAAAAGGACACCCACCTCGGACAACCTCGCGTTCCTGGCATCGCCCCCTCCCCCCCTTCATCTCACCGCAGCAGCTCACCGCACGGCAGTGACCCCCGCAGGGCACCCCGCTACAGAACCAAGCGCCGGTGGAGCAGGACGACAGCACCGAGCCCAAAACTCCCCCCAAGCCAAGCAGCACCGGTCGCCCGAGCAGGCGACAAGCAGGGTGAGAGCAGGCTGCCATCGGCCGTCCCGGCCCAGGTGCCCTGAGACCGCAGCCGCAGACCAGAGTAGGAAACTCCCTTGTGCTGGTACCTCTGGGTGTCCTCCACTCCTGCCCCACACACAGAGGGATTCAAACGCCCACGGCTCCCAGCTGGAAAGGGACAGCACAAGGCATCAGCCTGTGCTGGAGCCCAGCAAGATAACTCCGAATATAGAAAACCAAACAACCTTGTGCCAGCCCCTTTCCCTCTTGAGAAGGGCTGTCATACACAGACAGGTAAACAGGGGAAGAGTCTGAATCCCCGCCAGCTCCAATGCCACTACACGAACCGTGGCAGCTCCCACATGCTTGCAGACAGCGGCGCACCCGTCCCCGCGCCCCCCGAGACGGACAGGCGATGCACGGCTCCCCCTGGGCGAGCTGCGGGCAGCCAGAGGCTGCCAAGGGCCCCGCAGGAGAGGGGGCAGACAGGGGAGAGGAGCTTTTGGGCCCCGTCGATATGCAGCCGGGACCTCAGCCCGCTCCCGCCGACAGGCAGAAGAGCAGGTCCCCCACTCCCGGAGTTTCCACCGGGGACAAGAGGCCGTGGGTCACAGCACGGGGGTCCCCAGGAGCGGACCTGAGGGATGCCAGTGCTGCAGCCGGAGGGGGTCCTATGCTGAGGTGGAGGGAGTGGGCACACAGCCCAAGTGGAGTGGATTTCCTTTGGTGACTCTACTCCACATCCCCTCTCATTTTCCTTCCCGGTAAGATTCCGCTGCCCTTAGCTAAGCTGGGGCTGAGGGAGGCTGAAGTAGTCCCGACAGAGCTCTCGGACAGCTGACGGACCTACCTGAGTGCCGGGTACTGAAGTCCGGCCGCAGGTGAGCAGTAGACGCTGCAGTGCATTATTATGCCATAGACCAGGAGTGCTAAGATCGCTTTGCTACACATTGCCACTCTGTGCGGGAGGGAAAGGAAACGGCTGTCAAAAAAAAAAAAAAAAAAAAAAAAAAAAAACCCAAAAACCAAAAAAAACAAAAAAAAAAAAACCCGAAAACCAAAAAAAACATACCAAAAAAAAAAACCCGAAAACAAACAAACAAAAAAAAATCACTAACAAAAACCCAAAGAAATCACCCCACGGCTCACCAACCCCCTGGCCTCGCCTGCCGGAAAATGAGGCAGTGCGGCCCCGAGGGACAAGCGCTCCGGGCAGCTGAGTGCCGGCGCGGAGCAGCACGGAGAGGAGCAGAGCCGTGCCCGGCGCAGAGAGCTGCGGCCGCCGCCCGCCCCGTCGATGCCCGCCCGCCCGCCCGCCCCGGGACCGCTGCGGGAAGGCCCGGCGAGCCACCTCGTGTCCTTACCATTAAACTCTAGACACCCGGCACTGAGAGGGTTTGGCTGCGAAACTAAAACGGCAGGTCTTGGGGAGAGAAAAAAAAAATTAAGACCCAAAACAGGGAGGGGGAGAAATCGAGCTCTCTCCCAAGTTGCGTCCAAAAGGAGTTAAAACCCTCGTGACATCGCCTCTCCGATGGGCGAAGGACCGGCAGGATGCAAAAGATGCAGAAGCGGCAGCAGTTAGTTGTTTGCTGGTTTTAGGGCAATCCACTCCAGAAAGAAAAAGAGAGACGGGAGGGGGAAAAAAAAGATAAAGGAAAAAAGTTTGCAGGTAGGAGCACAGATCTGGAGTGGAGTCTACAAGGGAATGGAGAAAGAGGGATGGAGCGAGATGTCGCCGGAGAACCGAGCTCTGGGGAAGAGGAAAGAGAGTGAGCGAGTCCGGGAGGGAGCGGAGGCGGGAGCCGCGGGCTGGCTGCGTGCGATGTTGTCTTCCCCAGTTCTCTCCCCTCACTGAGCGCCTTCAGCCTTCTCTTCTTCTCCTGCTCGGTGGCTCCAAACTTGACCAGCCTTCCGCAGCCTTCCGTCTGATACGCAATTAGCAAGAAAATCTTTGCAAACACCCCGCTTCGGCAAGAGCTGTCTTCGTAAACATTTGCCTGCTTGTTACCTTAGAGGATGGGCAATATTGTTTGTTGCCCCCGTAGTGGTGTCCGGATTTTTATTCATGAATCAAATGCCTTTTTTTTTTTTTTCCTCAGTCACGTAATAATCGGGTATCAGAAAAGACGTCACCACCCCAATTCCTCAAGGAACACAGTTCTGTGTCGTCCTCAAAGATGAGCTTATCAGGAGTCATAAAGCTTCTCATAAACACCAACTCACACTTCCCTCCCCCCGAAAAAAAATAGAAAAAGAAATTCTGACAACCAAACAAACACGCAGAAAAACCCCACCGCACAAACCTAAAAGGATGTTCGCCACAGTAAAGTTTTACCTGACGTGGGAAGGGAAGCGGAGGAGAGCAGTTAGGGGTGGGGTGGGGGGTCCCCGGGCTTGTTTGACTCCCCCACGGTTTTGCTCCGGGTCTTCCAGGGGGGCCAGCTCACCCCAAACGCATCCCGGGGCCGCCGCATGGGCGCAGGCCCCCGCGGAGCCGCCCGGCTCTGAGCGCGCAGGCGGAGCAGCCCTGGCGCGGAACCCCCCACTTCCGCGGAGATTTAAGAATATAAGTGCCTGGTTTTATTTTTTTTTTTTCCCAGGCCCCCCTTTTATTTTTTTTCTCTTTTTTTCTTTGTCTTTTCCTTTTACTTTTTTTTTTTTTTTTGCTTTAAGGATTGTTAGTATTGTTCCCATTACACAAGGCTCCCCCCGCCGGGTAAACCAGCAGTGCCGTGACAGTTCTGCGTGTGTTGAAGCCGCGGGTCGCAGGGGACAAGCCCCACGGCAGTGCAGCAAGGACGGTCCCACGCGGGGCCGGCGCTGCCCGGGGAGGAGGGGGGCGGCTTTCCCCCCCACTCCCCTGGCCCGACCCTCTCGTCTCTCCGCCTCGTGAAGAGACAGATGTGCAGCTCGCAGCGCTTGGCAGAGAGGGAGGGAAGAGCATCGCCATGAGGGAAAAAAAAAAAAAAAAAAGTTGATTTGCCGGAGGGACCGGGAAGGAAATCCCTTCTCTGGGGACTTCCCCGCCGCCGGAATAATTTTCCCCCGAAGTGATGCTCCGGGCGCGGGCCACCGGCGGGCTCCCAGCCGCTGCAATTGCTGCTCGTCTCCGCACTCCCCTCCCTCCACGACCGAAAATGTGCCCTTCATTTCCGAGAATTACCCAAAGAAATCCAGGCTGCAGGAGCCATTACTAGACATTTTAATTACTGGGATCATAAGCAGAGCGTTCAGGAAGCAGCAATAATATAGTTCTCCTGTTTCCTATTTGAATGGGTTTGGTGTAACATGCTCGGATGAGTTATTTGAGCCCAAATCGATTTCTCAAAAACAACAACAACAAAAAACACACCATACAATTATATTCCTATTACGGTCATTTAAGGTTTCAATATTTTCCGGAGGTAAAGGAAATTTGACGTGAATGAATGATTCCCGTAGAAATGGCCAGCGGCGCGATCCCGGGCGGGGATTCAGGACAAGGGGACGAAGCGGGACGCTATCCCCGCTGTCATTCTGTGCCGGGCCTTGCGGGCAGGGAAGAAGGACGGCCGGCAGGAACGGGGCAGGGCAGGACGTCTGGCGGAGCTGCCGGGGAAGCGGTCACCCCGACGCTCCGGCTGGGGAAAGGGTTACCCCACCGCTCCCGCTGGGGACAGGATCACCCCCACGGGTCCCGCTGGAGCAGGGTTACCCCGCGGCTCCCGCTGGGGTCAGGGTCACCCCCAGGGGTCCTTCCGGAGCAGGGGTGCCCGTGGCTCCCCGCGCCGGGCCCGCAGCGCGCCGGGGCATCCCCGCCGCTGCCGCGCACGGTCCGTGAGCGCCGGGCGCCACCGCGCGGGCAGCTCCGCACCTGCGGCCGGCCCCTGCCCCGGCTGGGGAGCGCTGCGGAGAAACCCCCCGTGCGCCGCCGGGCTGCCGGGCACGGCTGCGAGAGAGGACAGCCCGAAAGGGATGCCCGCTGCTCCCTTTCACCGGGCTTTGGTGGGGTTTGTGCAGGGGGATTTTTGGTTTCCTTTGTCATGGCTCGGCGGTAGCGGGTGTATAGACGGGTTTTTCTAGAAACCGGTGTGGCAAGGATTGTGTGAATCACGTCGGTATGAAGGCTTGAACACACACTCCGCCTAACGAACAGGAAAAACTACTTCTTTCCAAAGAGACGAGACACACACAGGTAATACATTTTAAAGCTGTGACTGTTTTCACTTTAGAAAAGCTACTTTCAGCTACTCTTGATAGATACACCCGCATTTCCTCTCTTCCATCCCCACTCCTCTAGATCCTTACAGAAAGTGTAAGGATGCCTGAAATAACAGGCATTAGCAGCACAGAGGTAGAGATACCCATAAAACAAACCTGAAGCTACAGACCCCACACAGAGACCCTGGTGGTACTGTGCATGCAGCAGCAATTTCAGGATGGTTTGTAAAAAATGCATCTTCTAAGCTCTCATTTCTGGTTGAGTGACTAACACACACAGTTCGTGCCAATAAAAGTTTCATAGCATCTCACTCTACGCCACAGGGGTGTGTGTGCAAAGTGATTAAGATTATGACATGACTGTGGTTTAGGCTGAGGAAGTAAAGGTTTTAATCCGGTCTCTGCGTACAAGTAAATTTCTCAATAACTGTCATTTCAAGGCTGAGAGAGATTTCAGGTATATAATACTTGCCTCTAGGGCAAATTCCTACGGCAGCATCTGAAGAAAAGCAGGGTTTTTTTATTGGCAGAATTTCTTTCATCTTTCCCCTACCAGCTTAAATGAGACCTTTTAATTTATCTGACTATTCTATTTTAAATATCTATTTTATTAACTAGGGTATTTTAATTTATAGAAGTTTCTAGGAGAGCTTACATCCTGTGAGCCTTGTCAAACCTGACTGCAGCTGACTGCTGGAAACCTTGCTGCTATAGTTCTAGTTCAAAGGAACATATTTATTTCATCATGTACCATGATGGGTGTCTTTTTGACCCTTCAGAAACCCCCTTTTTTTTTTATGCATATTTTATAAAATATACTATGAGTAATTTATCAAACTGTCAGGAAACTCTATTGTTCCATAAAGACATATATCTCATACACATTTTTTGGATGTCCAGCAACTATACTCTTATTTCCTCAGTATGTCCCAGATTAGCTGCATATTTTAAAAAGAACCTGGAAGAATTTATGTACCTGGAAAACATAATTTTATCATGAAAGGACACATGTATTTCTGCCAGTATAGAAAAGGATTAATTCTTCTTTCTCAAAAGCAAGCAATCCTGCCAAACCAGCTGTCTCCCTCTCTCACACACTCACACATTATGAGTTTATCATCTGCCTTGTAACTTTCTCTGCCAGGCCACCTTTCTTACTGGGGTGGCATGGGGAACCTATTGCTAACCAGCATGCCAATAAATACTTGTCTGCATCTGTTTCACAAACATAACACCAGCCTTTCCTTTTTCTTGGCTTTCCTGACTCCTCCTCCTCCTCCTCCTCAAGGGCCAGCTCCTGGAAGGATGAACTTGTCAGAGGGGCTATTAACCCATCCATGAAATCATTCAGCTGTGGCTGTGGTCATCTGGAAAAGGCTAATTAAGGATAGCCTGGCAGCAGAACAGAAGGTCTTATAGCTCTAACACTGCTTAGGGGACATTTCAGCACTTCAGCTGAGATGTAGAACCTGTGGCAGAGGAGGGAAAGCCCCACTTTCCTCATGTAGGCTAGATGTCAATCCACTCAGGGACAGAAACAGCTGAAGTATTTAATTTGCAGAATTGTTTTTCTTTTATTAAACCATTCCTTCTCATACTTTCTTTACGCAAAACAGCAAAATGCTCAGGCACACTGTAGAAACCACAAACATCTGTGTGCTTTCTCATGTCCAAAGGGACAAAGCTGCAATCCAGACAAGTTTGGTCAGCCAGGGATGTTCTGGGTAGATTGTACAAAATACAAAAAAAAAACCCAGAAAACAACAACCAGGGACATTATTGGGACTACAAATCTCTCAAGAGATGATAGAGGCAAGCCTCACCTGGTAGCCAGGACCCTTGCCAGCCTCTTTGCATAAGACCACCAAGCATTAGCAAAGTCTCTGTGAGAATCTTCCAGATAATTCCTTGATACCTTTTATAACTTTACTTCCAAGCAAACAGGAAAAAAAAAAAAAAAAGGACTGATTTGTTGTTTTTTTTTTCCTTTCCCTCTCTGAAGTGAGGAGGCAGGACAGCACTTGCCAGGGCAACAGTGTAAGAGAACCAGCAGTCCAGTCACTCTGCTCTTGCCACTGCTTAGAACTCACTGTGAGAGACAAGTCCAGTGGGTTGCCTGTGTCTTGCATGATTGCCCACACAGAAGCTCAGTGCTCAATCTTACCCCTGTGGGTGTTCTCCTCCCCCTGTT